TATTAATTTTTTTTTAATTTTAAAATAATATTTCGGTCAAAAAATTTGACCGAAATAGTCTAAAATAAAATATTTTTAATAACATTTTCGATCAAATATTTTAACCAAAATAGTCTAAAATAACAGATTTCCCAATAATATTTTCAGTCAAATTTTTTGACCGAAATTATCCAACATTTTCAATCAAGATGAATTTTTTCTGAAATAGTATTTCCTTCAGAGGTTATTCGGATTAACAATTCGATCAAGTAATTTAACCGAATTACTTCTTATTCGGTCAAAATTGGCACTTATTCGGTCAAGATGCTTGACCAAATAAGACCCTAATTCTAGTAGTGATAGCTATACTAGTGAAATGGAATAATTGTCTATATCCATTATTCCAAAAACCAAAAGCCTAGAAATTGTCCAACAATTCCATGCCATTGGCTTATATAACATGTCTTACAAGATCATTTCTAAAATCCTTGTCAACAAGATAAAGCCTTTCCTTTAACTCCCTTATCTCTCCTTGCTAAACAAGTTGTTTTTCGAGGAGGAAAGTTATTGATAATGTGATCATTTTGCAAGAATTGGTCTATTTCTTCTCTAAGAAGAAGGGTTGAAAGGGTGATATGATTATCAAACTTGACTTAGAAAAGGCCTATGGTTGTCTTGAATGGAGTTTTATTAGAGAGTACTGTTATTTTTTAATTTCCCTGCTAAGAGCATTTCTCTCATAATGAATTATATTTCCTCTATGAATATCTCTATTCTGATCAATAGGGATAAGATTGAACCTTTTAGTCCTTCTAAAGGCATCCACCAAAGAGATCCCATTTCTCCCTCTATTTTTATCCTTTGTTTAGACTATCTCTCAATTAAAATCTCTACTGACATGGCCTTAGGATCATGGAAAGGCACCAAAGTAGGTAAAAGTAGTCCTACTCTCTCCCATTTATTCTTTGCTAATGATTTGATCTTTGTAGCTAAAGCTTCCGAGGAATATTGCCAATATTTGAAAGGTTTCCTTGTTTTATTTTATAAACACTCTAGTAAAAAAATCAACAATGATAAATCTAGAGTTTTATTTTCAAGGAATGTTGATCAAAACACCAGAGATTCTCTTTGTTCTCTCTTGGGATTTTGACACACCAATGATCTTGGAAGGTATCTAGGTATTTCAATCTTAGCAAAGAGGGCTACAAAAGATAGTTGTAATTTTATCTTGGGCAAGATTCGAGCTCAGCTCTCAAGTTGGAAATTTAAGTTTTTTTCCTTCGCTGGTTGGACTATTCTTGTTTCCTTTGTTCTTTCAACCATTCCAAATTTTTACATGCAAGCTATATAGCTTCTATCATTTGTTCAAAAGGAGATTGATCGTATCTCCAAGAATTTCATTTGGGATTTTGTGGATGGTCAGAAGAAACTACATCTTATCAATTGGGAGACTATCTGCCAACCTAGAAAGTAAGGGGGCTTGGGTCTACAAAGTGCCAAGGATGCCAATCTTGTGGCTATGAGCAAACTTAATTGGAGACTTCATACTGAGGAGGGGAAAGTTTAGAGGGAAGTTCTTGTGAAAAAAGACAAGATCTTTAATCCTAAAGCCTTTCTTCCCTTTATCAGTTCCTCGATTATTAGAAGTTTGTCCAAAGGAATCGACTTGTTCCAAAAAGGGATCAAATGGATTCCCAAAGATTGTGAACATATTTCTTTCTAGTCTGACCATTGGATTGGTCAAGCACTTCTTAACTCTATTCTTTATGGCCCATTTCCTTCCAACACTTCATCTATTTCTCTTGCCAATGTTCTTCATTGGGGGGGGGGGTATGGACATGGATATGTGAGGTATCACTTGATTTCAAAAATTATGAGTGTCATCAAAGCTACCCCATTTTCTCTTGTTAATCATCTTCATGACACCTTCTCTTAGAAAGGTAAGGCTGATGGATTGTTTTCATCAGCCTTAGCACATAGAATTCTCTACTCTAAATCAAATGTGCTGTCAAGTGATTGGGGGTCGATATGGGAGATTCCTACATTGCCAAAAATTAAAAACTTCATTTGGCTTATTGTTCATAGCAAAATTAAATCTATGGAATTTCTCCATGCCCTTAGTATTGTGTAGGATTCTATTTGTAAGGTGTGCATTGATCAAGTTGAAACTTTATAGATCATATATTCAGAGGCTATCCTCCTACTGTTACGGTTCTTAATAGGCTGCTCCCAAGATGCTTGGATATGGATCATGGTACGATGGATTTTGGAGTCTGGATTAAACCTCAAACTAGTAAAAAGACTCCTAGCTCCATCCACCAAATTCCTTGGACTGCTATTTTTTGTTTCACTTTATGGAAGATTTGGAATCAACGAAATTATATTATTTACCGTGGGAGTCAAGTGAATGTTCAAGGTATGTTTGATATGGTTGTGGATAGTGTTGTCAAGTTTTGGGCCTCCTAGCCATCTCTTCTTGGTTGTAACAGTAAACAACCTCATTTAATCTATTGGGAACCTCTTCCCCATAGCTAGATTAAGCTTAATATAGATGGTTCCATGATGGGCAATCCCAGTGTGAATACTTGTAGGGGTTTATTTCGTGACTCGCAAGGCATGTGGATTCTTGGATATACTTGTAACATTGGGTATACCACTGCCTTAGCTGTAGAATTGTAGGCCATAAGAGATGGACTTTAGACTGTTATCAACTTGCACTTTAATTCTATTATTGTGGAAATTGATTATTATGTGGCTTATCAATTATTATCTATTGCTGCAAATCTTCATCACTCTCATAGCACTCTCATAGCACTCTCATTATGGATTGTAGGGCCTTTTTGAACATGATTCCCCAAGTTCGTCTGAGGAATACTTTCAAGGAGAGTAATATGGCTGCTGATACCACGGCTAAGAAGGGCACTCACGCTCCTGCTTTTGTTGTCTTGTATAATTGTCCTATGGATGTTGAACTTTTATGTCTTGCTGATGCTGTTGAGGTTGGCTACCCCAAGACTTGAGTTTGGCTTTTTAGTTTAATGCTATTTCTCCTTTTATAAAAAAAAAAAAAAAATTATGCTCAGGGTTTACCTAGTACTCTAGAGGCTGTTAAAGAAGCTTGGGTTTCATGGGAAAACCTTATGAAATCCCTTGGAAAGCAGCAACATGCTGGTGCTAGTGAAAGTTCACTTCCTAAAATGAAGGATAAACAATGTTCATATTTCATCAATGAGATGAATGATGCAGATTTTGGGGACAGTGGTTACAAATTGCGAATTCCATAAGGCCTGATTCAGGGTTCTGCAATCACCATAATAGGCATTCTTGATGGCCTTATGGTATAGGGAACTTCCAAATTGATTTAACTAGGGAATCAATCCTGGGACAGCTAAATCCTTCCATTGTTTTGCTTTTACAATACATGTTCACCTACAAGGTGAAGAGATGAAGAAGGAAGGCTATATAGCGGATTACAAAAATGAAGCACGGGTCTATAACAAAGGTTGCTGCAATGGATATGTTGTTGCTCTCATGACCAAACTCATGGACAAATGCTAGTTGCAAGAGGAGAAAGTCCTTAAGTGTTGTGCAGATCAACGAGATTAATACATGATTAATAGAATTAATGTTGGAATTTTTAGACATCAATATGACTTAGTTGAATGGGGGTTGGAAGTTCGATTTTTAGTTTTTTTCATAAAAGCTACATAGAAAGGGAGTTTTCACATTCTTGGGATCCTTTTTAGTGGTTCCTTTGAAAGAATAGTGATTGCTTGTATAGTTAAAATTTTAACTTCAGACTACATAATTTTTTGAATTATGGTGTTATAGTTAAAAGCCTAAAACAACATTGAAATTTCTTTTTATTTAATTTTGTCAATTTCAATAGAACATGTTGAAATAAATTGCAGAACCCCACTGACACATAGAGAGAAAAGTAGGAAATTCCAACCCCACCCACCCCTCCCCCCTCTCTCCCAAGCCTCCACCCAAAAGAGAAAAAAATAATAATAATTAAGTAAATAGACTAATCTAACCGCCCAAGCCGCTGCATATCACCTTGTGGATGATACTTAGGTGAGTTCCTTGTGTATGAAACTCCCTTTTCTTGGTCCAATTGCAAATGGGAACCAGTATAAAGAAACAAGTGTCAGACCTCAGACAATTCCATATTATCATTTATTCAAGAAAATCTGAAATTATAGGACGCCTCTAATTATCAACTCTATTTCCTCCATGGATTGAAAGTAGACTTTGCTTGGACTCTATTGCTTGAAATTTGTCTTCTTTTCCATATATAGAAAGTCTCTTGACTTGCTTTTTTTTTTTTTAAGTTGTAGGACACTAGCCGCACTCCCTTACCCACCATAAGAAGGAAATTATTGTTCACAAGTAGTAATGGTTTCTCTATTCCTAAAAGAGGTCCAATAGATAATATCTTCATCCAAATCCCATTAACTCCAAATTCTCCCATTGCTCAAATGTTAAATGATTTCTCTTCCCCTAACATGGGATATTGAAAGAGAGCAAGAGATCCATTAAACTCCAAAAGGCTGAAGCTGCTAACAGGAACACCATCTTGATCTTCACAAGATTCTAGCATAAGTATACATTGGAAGATCTCATAAGTCATGTCAAAAACAACAATTGCATTCCTTCTTTTTAAAGACTAATCAGCCTCAGGGACAACACTAATTGCCTTTGCATACCAATAATAAGCTCCATTCTAGTACCGATTGAAAATACCCTCACGGATTTCAACTTCCATAAGAAGGCTGTCAATCTCTACTTTTAAATCGAAGTTGTCAATCTCCCTTGAAGAATTCGTGCTCAAATTGTATACCTTTACTCTTATAACACGACTAAAAGAAATAAATATATCCCATAGCTGAATGATCTTATTATCATTAGCTTTCAGATCATAGCCAAGTCCAGCAATACACCCATAATAATCATAACTACCAACTAGAGGAGGAAAGCAAATGCAAGATTTTGGAAGAATTTTGAATTATCTTATTCTTGGATTTGATATCACAATGCCACTACAATAACCCAAGCAGACAATGCCATCACAACTATCCATAATGGTAAGAGATAGGGCATCAATATCAATGTAGAATGGTAAGTTTAAAGTCTTGACAAGGAAAGGAAAATCATCACCTCTCGTTCTAGAAGATGCTTCATTGTACGCAAGCAATGATAAAACATCTTCAAAATTTTCATTTTGTGTGTTGGAACAAATTCTGTATAGGAGAAGAACGCAAAGGTTGTTGTCCGAATTGGCAGAGCGGACGTGGTTGTGAAGTTGCTTGGTCATGAATTGATGTTGTCCGATGACTGAAAACAATGATTTGTTGAGGCACTTGAATTGTGCAAGAGAGTTTGCCGATAACCACGACAATATCTCAATGATAAAATCTAATTAAATTAAATTAGGGATTTGACCCGCCACAGTCGATGGCATGGGCTGTCCATTGATTAATTATGGCGAAACTCTAATTAAATTAAATTATTATTTAATAAAATAGCCAAATTTCAATTAAAATAAAATAAGAGGATTTTTTTGGGTCAGGCCTTTAATGGGCCTCATAAAAAAATCCAAAGCATATTATTATTATTATTTTTATAGAAGAAACGGGTCCGGTCAAAAGTATTGGGTTGGGTCCTGATGGACGCAACCCGTTAAGGATTTGTTAAGGGGTAAGGTTTGACCCGTAGAGTAAGGTCAGCAAAAAACTAATGACAAAGAGCAAGTGATCATAGATGAAAATTGGACTTCTCTTGTTCCTCCCTAAGTTTACCCATATACCTAAAATTTCACAGTACCGAGACATGAAGCAGTAAAGATGAATCCTGATAAACATCCAAGCTCTCTTGACTTAAAATCAATACTTTTGAGAACCACACCCCCTCCTGGTGCAAGCATTGCTCAAAGGAGTATACTACGAGGCCACAAAGCCAATGGCTCCTCAACACAAATTTAAATAAAGAGAAGACTAGTTAACCACTAGAATCAGAAAACCTTTCTCCTCTTCTTACTGCTATCTCTATTCCTAGGATGCTTATTACACTTGCTTTGTCTGACTACAATTGTATAATGAACGGACAACAAAGACCCAAAAGAAAATGAAGTTTGCATTTTTGCTCCTCATTCTTATTTCAATGATGCTAATGAATCTTTACAAAAACTTTTACTCACCACTGTCATAATTTCAAAATTTTTTCAAGAAAAATATATAGTCAAATTAATTCTACAATAAATAAAAGAAAGAAAGAATCAATCAAAAATCTAAAATTTTCTTTGAAAATTATCCTAATATAATTCTTTTCCATATTCTAGGGCTTGTTCGTGAATGTAGGAAATTTGAGGGAAGAATCCAAAAAGAAAATGGACTCAAATGCACAAAGAAAAGGGAGAGAGTACCGAATTATAATTTTGGAAAAAATTGGGTCAACTGAGCAAAGGAATGAAAAAGGTGGCAGATCTAGGTCCATTGCTTTTAAAACAAAAATCCAAATTTCACAAAATTGGCCTAAGCCCGTCTGCAACAACCGCACTAGGCCCAAAGGTAGCCTTTTTTTCCACTTAAGCCCATATCCTCACCCTAGCAGGACGGAAAGCCCAATTCGGTTGATGCCAGTCCAATTACTGCTAAAACCCGGTCCAAGCTCAAAAAAAAAAAAAAAAACTTATCCCAAAAAAGAAAAACAAAACTTGTTCATTTAGCAGTTTGAAATTAATTGTTGATATGTCATTCAATTTAATAGTTAATAATTATTATTATTAATAATTTAAATGCCTTTATTTATTAGATTAAATAAAACTACTGTTAAGTTTAAATTATTATATCAAATAGCTTTTAAAAAACAAAAATGGGGTTTTCATCTCCCCAATTCTTCCTCTCCTTCCTTCTCCCATCCGTTCAAATGCTTCTGAACCTGTTGGGCTACACAATTTTATTGGGATGAAGTCAATTGCCCCTTTCCTATTGCCCCTTCAATCTTAAAATTTGATAAGGGCTCCATCTCCATCAATTCAAAACTTCAGTTGTCCCATTTCATCACGAAGAGTCAGAAGAGGGTGATCTCATCCTAAGTAAAATAAGGCCATCATCAAGAAGACCTCGGCTGAAGCTAATTTTATTCAAGCAATGAAAGCAGAAGCAGCAAAATGCCCATAGTGTTGGGCTCTAGCCTCTAATCAGCTTCGTTACATGTATGTTTCTCGGTATGGAATGAAATCTTTCCGTACAAACGAAATATTGAATCAAGTGGTAAGTGGCTTGTTTCAGTTTAAGTAAAATTTCGAGTTCGAGACTTTGTGAATGTAGCAGCCTTCGCTGGGAGACTCACCTACCATTTTCAGGTACGCGATGCAGGTCGGGTTCGAATTAATCGGGGTGAAACCTCGGATACCGGGCAGGAAACCCAAAAAAAAAAAATGAAATCTTTCCGTATTCAGTTTCAAAAACAAAATAAATAAATCATATAGAATTATATTTATTCCATAAAATAGATTTATTAATTCAATCATCAATATAATGACATATTCAAGTCACTAGTTTGTTCCTTACACATGAGACAAAGACTTTTCACTTTGAAAACAAAAAATTTTTCGGGCACTTGCTGAGATTTGTATTACAATCTTCAAGAGAATTCCCTATCTTGTCAAAGCACAACATTATTTGCTGCAACTGATCTAAGTTTGTACCAGCTTTCTTCTTACAATGTACTGCAACTTTTTTTTCCAGTTTTGCTCTTTAAATTTTTTTTCAAGTATTAATCTTCAATGTTCAGAAATCATATTAGATTTTAACTAATTTAAAGTCAAGATGCGATGAACTTATAAAGAAAAACTTTTTTAATACATGTTTATTTATTTATAAAACTTGAATTCAAAATCTTATTTTAAAAAAAAATCAAACTCTTTTTACTTAAACTAACAAATTATTAATAGTTTTACTTTTTATAGTTAGCTTAACTTTTGCAAAACCCACCATTTGGTTGTTTAGAGCCAAACCGACAGTTCGTAGCATACTCGTGATGTTGTATAACTTTACTTTCTTACAGGCTATATCCAAAAACTGGAGCTGACATAGTACAACTTCCAAAGATGTTCCGTCCTTTTTCCATTCCGCTGCCCAGAATGCTTCATCCTTAGAAGATAGGAGATCAGGCCAAAAGAAATGCAAATCTTTCTCGAACTGGATGTTTTTTATCTGAAAAATCAACAATACAAGCTCAATATATCAAACAATAAAAGTGTTTTTTTTTTTCTTTTTTTCCTTTTTATAAATGAAAACTTTGGGCATACGAAGAGTACTTATACCCATAAGTATACTAAATAAGTTTTACATGAAGGCTGCAACTTCGAAACAACTTCGAAACAAAATAACTGGGGAGCTCCTTTTACAACAAACTCCTAAAACAAACAATCAACCCCACACTTAACATTTGTAATAATTACTACAGATTCTTCGCACAAAAACTAGGAAGATACACTACCGGTCAAAGGTACAAATACACCCATCCACATTGTCTTCTAACCTAGCAAAAGATTTTTTCTGAATCATATCAAAAACACACTTTTCACCCTAGGTAGCCGAACTAAACAACAAATAAAGAATTTGTTGTAAACCAATTGGACCATGTTGTAACAAAGAAGATAAAAGCCCAAACCTTACCCACCAAACCATCACGTTTGGAATGCCTAAAACAGTGAACTTAACAGTTCACATCTTTGGGAGACTCATCCACCATTTCCAGGTGCGCGACGCGAGTCGGGTCCGAATTAGTCGGGACGAAACCTCGGATACCGGGCGGAAAACCAAAAAAAAAAAAAAAACAGTTCACATCTTTTCCCGAGTTTTGGTGGTTGAAGGATAAACCCCATCGATTATTGAGGAGACAATAAAAGATAAAAATCAAATAGATAATCATACATACCGTTTTCAATGTCGGGTAAAGGATGGATTCATTGCAACAAAATTCCACAGATGCACTAGAGCGATTGGCCGGTGAAATCCCATGCCCAGTAAACCTTTCGACTGTGGCCCCTTTGCACTTGGCAGCTGGCAAAGTGCATACAGCTACGAGCAATTGTTGGACGAATTATAGGTATTCATAGGGATCGTCTGCTTTGGCATTCAAAATGAAAAAAAAAGTTATGACAAAGAAGAAACAAGACACTGAGATAATGAACCTCATTATGAATTAATATTTTTCACTACTGCACAGATACAAATTTTGTTGATGTGATACATAAGTTGTAATTGACTTGAGAAAGTGTGAAAGAATCAAAGTTTGGACTTGCATGATGATTTCAATAACTAAACTTTAACGTACATCTTATTAGTTTAATTGGACTTCTAATTCAATTTCCTTAGACACGAAGGTTGATGTGGAGTGTAATTATCTAAGAAAAAATTAGTTTTAATGTGTACAAAAACTAACGTATTCAAACCAAAGAAAAAATGTTTAGGCAATGCATGATTGTTGCATGAATATTAGCAGGGGCAGAACTACTTGGAGCGTGGGCCCTACCCAACCTAAAAATAAAAAAGAAATGAAATAAGAAATAAAAAGATTGATGAGCAAAGTCGCAAGAAAAAAAAAAAAAAAAAAAAAAACAAAAGCCCTATCCTTGATTTTTCCGTGGTTTTCCGCCTGAATATTAGATTGCAAAATTATTACACAGATATTAGATTGCACAATTCTTGAACGGATATTAGATTGCACGTGCATCGCACTGGCATCGCACTGATGTAAGATTGCACAGAAGTCAGATTTATGGGAAAGATGAAGATGGATTGGAGCCTATAATTAATGTTCTCTGCCCCTTTGGCATTGTCTGTGAGGATGGAATTCCATTTCAATAAGGTTAAGGTTGTAACATATCCAAATTTTGTTGATCAACACAATGTACAAGTAACAAGCAAGTTCAATTTTATATATATGCTATCCAATTGTCGTGTGCCCACAAAAACCGCCTTTAGCTTGTTTTAGATGATGTGATATTAGTTAATTCAAATTCAAATTCAAAATCATCAGATTATACATTTTATAGATGTAGTTTAATTTTTTTAT